GGCTGCTCTGGTTCTAGGGGCCGCAGATCTCAGTTATCCAGGAAATCCCTGTTGAGTCAAGAGAAGGCAAGGGAGGACAGAGGACAGGTGGGGAATCATTGGTTTGTGTCCCCTTTTCCCCAAACGGGGCATCTAGAGAGGATTCCCTCTTCTCCAGCAGTCATACATTCCAAATGGCTGAACACATCCACGCATCTTCCACCACACCAACCACCAGGCCAGCGCGCCCCTCCCCCCACCCCCACCCCCACCCCCGCTCCCACCCTCTAGTCCCTCCCTCACCCCATCTCTCAGGACCCTTCGCCTATCAGATGTCAGCCAGCTATGCTGAGAAACCCATCTGGCCAGGGTTCATGCAGATTTTCAGACCCGCTGGCTGCTCCCCCTTTCTCAGAGGGATCAAGCCTTTTCATGGTTAAGGAAGATACCAAATTGAAGGGAAGAGGCTTGGGGTTGGATGGACTGTGACGCTTTGACCACAGTCACACAGGCAGTGTCACATGCAGACACACGGTCAGCCAGGGTCCCACAGGGACCATCAGGCTCCTGGCACAGAAGTACACACAGGCCCATTGGCCCATGAACTCATAGTCACAGCCAGAGAGGCCACACACACAAGCACCCCTAAACTCTCACACAGGTACACAGCACATAGACTCACTGACCAAGAGAAAAATAAAGACAGGGTCCCCCTCACCCCCGCCCACTGCCTGGGGCTCCCTGGCCAGCCCGTCCTTCTGTCCCCTCTGCTCCCAACACTTGGCATTCCCCCGGCCATCCACTGCCACATCGCCTGTGCGACTTCCGTTGACATGTCAGAGTCTGTCTGACCACGTGCAGCAGGAGTGAGGGGGCTGAGGGAGGGCCAGGCCTGCCCGCAAGTCCTCCCTTTAGGCCTAGGTACTTGCTTTCGCTGTGAAAAGTCAGGTCCCTCTGAGGAAGAGGAGAAAGGTGAGCAGGTTGAAACCTAAACTGTTTTGTGGCGATTTACTCCAGACCAGCCTTGGACACTAAATCTGACCCGTCTCCTGCTTCCGGGCCAGAGATTTGCCTTCGGGGAATGAGGAACAGAGGCCTGTGGATGGGGGGCTCCTGGAGGTAAGAGAATGCTGTAGGCCCTCAGTACCGCGCCCTCTGGTGCGGGGAAGGGCAGAGCCTGGGCACGGATGCTGGCGGGTGGGAAGGGGGCAGGATTATGGCATTTCCCCTCAAGCTGGAAACAAAGGCAGATTCCTGTGTCCAGCTCCAGCAAGCTGGTCCCACCCCTCGAGTGCCTGGAGCTAGAGGAAATCCCGCCGGCCTCTGGCCTCGCCCAGCCAGCTGCCACTCGGTCATAGGCTCTGCCTCCCAGCCAGGGCCAGGACCTGCCCTCAATCCTGGGAACCTCATCCTGTCCAAACACCAAGCCCTCCCCATTGGGAATAGTCCCCGTAGCCCCTCAGACTCTGTCCCCAAGCTGCAAGGGTCTGCTCAGCACCACCCCTACCAGACCCCCACACCCCTGCCGGCCAACGCGGGCCACCCTCACCCCAGCAAACGCAGGCCCTGCTTTTCTTTAGTGGACAAAAGTCTGGGTGCCTCTAGGAACTCCCGTGCCATCCAAAGTGCTCAGCAGGCCCTGCAGGCGTCCCACCATCCTGAGTGGGGACTGTGTGCCTCAGCTAATTGGCGCATGTTCCTTTTTTGCACAAAATTGCAGCTCTAGGGAAGCGGGGGGGGGGGGGGGGGAGGCACTATGCTTAATTAGGGAAGGGTCAAGGGATACCATGTGACCCTAATAGAACAGGAACTAAAGGGGTGTTATTACAAAATAACAACATAATGATAAATAATTAGGAGGAAGAGAAACTAAATGACCTAAATTATGAAGTTTTAAAATCTATAAATAGCAGCAAGACAAATATTACATGGTACCCCTTACATATGGAGTGTAAAAAAAAGTCATACTCATAGAAATAGAGTTTAAAAAATGGTTGCCACCCTAGATGGTTTGGCTCAGTGGATTGAGTGTTGGCCCAAGGACTGAAGGGTCCCAGGTTGATTCAGGTGGGCGGTATGTACCTCGGTTGCAGGTTTAATCCCCCACCCTGGTGGGGGTGCGTGCAGAAGGCAACCAATGGGTGTATCTCTCTCTCTGTCTCTCCCCATCCCTTCCACTCTCTCTAAAAATCAATGGAAAAATATCCTCGGGTGAGGATTAACAAAACAAAAAAACAAAAACAAAAATGGTTGCCAGGAGCTGGGGGTGGATGAATGGAGGAACTAGGAAATGTTAAAAGGGTACAAACTTTCAGCTATAAGATGAATAAGATCTCAGAATCTAATGTAAAACATGGTGACTCACTGTATTGTATAACTGAAATTAGCTTAGAGAGTAGTACTTAAATGTTCACACATGCACAAGCCCTGGCCGGTGTGGTTCAGTGGTTAAAGGAATGGCCCAAGCACCCAAGGGTCTCGGGTTCAATTCCTGATCAACGGCACATACCTGGGTTGCAGGTTCGCTCCCCAGCCCCAGTCGGGGAGCATGCAGGAGGCAACGGGTCAATGTGTCTCTCTCCTATGGATGTCTCTCTCTCTCTCTCTCTCTCTCTCTCTCTCTCTCTCTCTCTCTCCTCTTCCTCCCTCCCTCCCTCCCTCCCTTCCAATCCCTCTGAAAAACAACAGGAAATCCCTCTGAAAAACAACAGGAAAAATCCTCAGGTGAGGATTAACAACAACAATGTATACGTATATCAAGTCATTGTGATTTTATTTATCAATTATACTTCAACAAAGCTGAACAACATCTGGAGATAGCATTGTAAACATTACTTAGGTTATCGAAGTAAATGTCTGAGAAATGAACAGCTGAAACCTTGCGAAGGGGGCTGGCCTTGGCAAGAGGGTCTGAGGTGGGCACAGTTGCCTCTCATTATAAACTCGGCTGCAGAATTTCATGTATTTATTTACCTTTACCCTGTGTTTTTTAGGAATGCCTTGAATATTTTTTCAGAATGGCTGCTTCCTACTTCGAAGTCCACTGTGGTAGCGACACACTCATCTGTATAACAAGGCCTCAGGCAGCTTTTAGTAGGAGAGGCACCGTTCAGCACCCGTTTCTGAGCAGGTAAGAAACAGAGGCCCGTCACACAGCCAAACCTCTGGCCTCCTGACTCTAGCTTCATGCTCTTTGTCCTGTCCCACAGCTGGGCCTCCCTCCCTCAAAACAAACCGAACATCCAAACATCCGTGTGGGTTTGCAGCTGGTAGAGGACCTCTCGGATGTTTTGCTTTCATTCTGAGAACTGGCAGAGGCGGTATCAGCAGCCCTTCCTTACAGGTATGGGAGCTGATGTCCACACATCGCGCCTCCAACTCCAAAGTGGCCTCTCCCCCTCCCTCTCCTCTCCCTCCTCTGGGCGGACCAGTGGGGTAGGGGAGAGTCAGCGCCTGGAGGCGAGGCGGCCTGTGGGGAGGGACATTCCAGAGGTCGCTGGACTTCAGGGAGGAGGCCGTCCTGGAGCAGCATTTCATCAGAGCCCAGGCTGCAGGCCAACCCACCCCGAGGCATTGTGTGGGTACCGCCTAATCTCAGACTCCTGCCCTGACATGCCAGCCCTTCCTCAAGAGGCTCAGTCCTGAGATGAGTCATCCCAGGGCTCAGGGCTGGGCCAGGAGCGATGAGCCCTGTAGGACATCCTGGAGGAGCCGGAGAGGAGCAGGAAGGTGACTGGGTGGCTCACCCAGTCGGGCCCCTGTCTGCCAGCCTCTTCCTAAGGTGCTGGGCTGTCCACACCCTCCCCAAACCTTGGCGCCAGCCACATTGAGCTGTGGTGACAGCGCCTGAAGACCGGGTCGTTTCCCAAATCTTAGAGTCAAAGAAGATCGTACAAGGCTGGGAAGGACCTTTGCCACTCTCCCGTGTAAACACCTCGTTGTTCAGAGGAAGCAACTGAGGCCCAGAGAGCTGGATCCAGGCCTGGAACCCAGGGCACTGTGGCACCTCCTGCCCTGAGCTGCAGGAGACGGAGGGGGCCACTTCTTCCTCCAGGCAGAACGTAGCTGCATCCAGCCCACAAAGCTGGGGTTCCCCGCTGTGTGTGGAAGAGATGGAACATGGACTTCACAGGTATCTGCCTCCCTTCTCCCCCAAAGGAGACACAGTTCTTCCTCCTCGGGTACCCTGTTCTCCTGTTCATGTCTCTCATCTGAAACATCCCTAGGTTGTCTGACCTAAATCTCCCACTCTGCCATTTAAGGGAGGCACAGCCCAGCCCACCCTCTGCTAATTTCCTCCCCTGCTTTTTCTTCCTACTCATCCTGGCGCAGAACCGGCGACATAATCCGTGGGGCCCAGCACAAAATGAAAATGCTGAGCCCTTTGTTCAAACATTACTAAGAATTTCAAGATGGCAGCAGCAGAGCATTAAATGGCATGGGGCGCCCTGCATCTACAGAGGCTGAAAACCGTGGCGTTGGCCCTGCCACGGTGGCAAAAGCGATACTTAAACTCAACACTCGTCGCTGGTCCTGAAAAATCAAGTTGTTCGTTCCTCTGCCTTCATGCCAGCTCCGGGGCACCTGCCTTCCATAGGTGAGAATCTGCTTGAGGTTTCACCCACACACCCTTCCCAGGAGCAGGCCTCTGCTTCACACTGCTGGGAAATCCTTCCGAGTATCTAAATTTAAATCTCAGTCCTTCAGGCCTGTTTCCTCTTGTTCTGTCCCCGCTGATTATGGGGAACAGCTGGTCCTTCTGTGTAATTAATTCTTGTAGACTTGGACGCAGTCTGCAATTCCTTTTCCCTTTCCTCATTGGGCTCAGCCTCCACTGTTTTCTCCAGCTCTGTCCCTCCTGGGATGCCTGTCCCAGCCTCTCTGCGTGCTGTGGAAGCCACGAGTTTCACAAGAAGCTCCCAAGAGCATGAATCAGTGTCCAGAGGACCCAATGCCTGGGGGCCGAGGGGGTGGGGAGTGTAGCCTCCAGCACTGATGAGCAGCCCATCCCCCATCCGGCCCTGTCTTCCTCCTCCAAAAGTGCTCTACTTTTATCTATTTCATGGACCGTTTCCAGATAAAGTCCCCCACCCCCACTGACTCACATTGGCGACTCTCAGCTCCGGTCCACGGTGATGTTTCTGTTCTCAGGGTGTGTCTCAGAATGAACGTTCCCCTGGGAAAGCCCGACTTCCACGTCCCAGGACAGAGATCCGTGGGCTGGGGCTGGGAGAGGTTTATCAGAAGCCATGGCAGGGCAGGGGAGAGAGTGGGTATGAAAGACGGCCACGCGGCCACACGCTCATGTCTCCAGCTAATAGAGTGCCAAGTGGCCGCTATAATCTGAAAGAGCAGACACTGTAATCCTATAGTACTTCCTATTGGCTGCAGGACACCAGTCTGTCCTGACACTGAAATTTGGGTGTGCCTTGGTGCTGGAATTCACAGGCTCATGTTGTGAAGCAGCTGTGGGGGGTGGAGTGGGGAGGGTTGCAGCAAAGGAAGTGAGGTCAGGCAACAATTGATGCCTTTAGCTATTGTCTCCCCCAGCCTCCATTCCCGTCAAAGGGTGGGGGTCCCTTGCCCATCTTACAGAATCTCCATATCAGAGTAAGACACCTTAGAGGTCTGCTCCTGTTTTAAATCTTTGTTTTTGAGAGTATTACAGATGTCTCCCATTTTCCTCCATTGCCCTCCTCCACCCAGTTCCCACCCCACCATAGGCCTTCACCACATTATTGTCTATGTCCATTGATTATGCATATCTATATATATAAAACCCTAATATGCAAATAGACTGAATGGCAGAACAACCAAACAACTGGTTGCTATGATGTGCGCTGACCACCAGGGGGTGCCCACGGACCATGGCAGGTGTTGGTCTCGGTGGGATGGTGGAACAGGTGAGCGAGGGTG